CTAGTACAGTTAGAGGAAACATTTGTTGTGAGTTCTAGTGCACAAACGATCCAATGAAATAAATACACAGGTGTGTCTTGAAATAAATGCACGTTTCCACATAACGTTAATACACTCATGTCCAAAATTATCTTTAAATACCCAAAAATGATGATATTCAATGAAATATCGAATCAATGTGATCCGTATTTGCAGGGAATGTGTGAAAACCAAGCCTAATTAGCATTATCCAAACCAAAAGTAATCAAACGGTTTGTCATATGCAAATCTAGGCGTTATGTCATCCAAGGGTGAATCAAGCGCTTTGCGCAAACTGAATATTTGAGTGAATTTCTGCAACATAGCATTTGATTTCAGTGTGTAGGGACTCAAAGCGGTTTGTTATGGCTTCGAAGTATCATTTGGAAGAATCTGTAAAGTAGCGAATTATCGGCCGTTTAGAAGCAGGGCAGTCAATCATGGAAACAGCCACATGTCTGAATATTTCAAGACAGACAGTCTCTAAGCTATGGAAACAGTTTCAAAATGATGGAACTGTTGTAAGGAGGCCTGGACAAGGTCGGAAACGAATGACAACTGCTTCTGAAGATCGGTATCTGGCATTAACTGCCCGTCGTAACAGAAAGGCTACTGCTCGCCAGTTAAGTTCAGAGCTTGCAGCCACCACTGGAACTGTTGCATCACGGCAAACAATATACAGAAGGCTTAATGAAAAAGGCTTTTATGCCAGAAAGCCAAGGGTATGTGTTTTACTGTCTTCACAGAAAAAGAGGGATCGCTTTAATTGGTGTAAAGAACATCAAAACTGGACTGAACATCAATGGTCCCATGTTCTTTTTACTGATGAGTCGCGGTTTAGTTTAACTGGTGATTCTAAATGTGTTTACATCTGGAGGGAGTCAGGAACACGAAATGATCCCTCGAACATTGTGGAACGTGACCGTTTCGGTAGTGGAGGTGTGATGGTATGGGGTGGAATAATGATCGATGGACGTACGCCCCTACACGTGTTCAGCAGCGGATCTGTGACAGGCCAGATATATCGGAATGAGGTCTTAGATCCTTATGTAAGACTTTTCAGGGGTGCATATGGACCTGATTTTTTATTTATGGATGATAATGCTCGTCCACATCGAGCAAACCTCGTTGATGAATTCCTTGAAAGTGAAGACATTAAGCGAATACCTTGGCCACCAAACTCTCCTGACCTTAACCCGATAGAGAACTTATGGGACTACCTTGGAAGAGCAATTGCACATATACATCCTCCTCCTAGAGATGTAAATGCTCTGAAGACGGCATTGCTGGAAGAGTGGAGATTAATTCCCCAAACTGTGGTTAATAACGTTATTTCCAGCCTTAACACACGTTGTGATATGTGTGTACAAGTCAGGGAGATCATATTCCATATTAAATTTGTAAGACTTAATTCTTTTTCTGAATCATTCCTTTTTTCCTTAACTCTCTTTGTCACACTTTATTACCATTTTTATTGTTTCATGCTACAATTTTATATCATATGAGGTGATCTTCAATTTTTTCTTTTGCATTTATGTGTCATCAAGTTATGTATGATTCCACGAAAATTCATTAAATTATAAGTCATAGTCTCTGAGAAATCCATGAATTTATGCATGTAAACATAATTTTGGACATGAGTGTAGAAAAGGGCTGGTCACTGTATGCTGCAGAAAAGCTTCTCGAAGAGAAAGGTGATGATAAAGAAAAACTAAGTTACTTTATGAACTTGAGCATACTCTCTATAGCCACACTTGGAAATTTTCATTTTCGGGGGGTTAAAAATCTATTATCACCTGTGCCACTAAAACGAAAGGTAAAGTTCAATAGGAAAATTTTTTACAGATAACAGCAAGTTTAACGAATTAATCAAATGAAAGAAAATCCAGAATGACTTAAAATTTACACACATGCTCAGACATTCATACCCAGAATTTAAAAAAAAAAAAAAAATTGTTTTTGTCAATAATAAAATTCTGAATTTAGTTTCAGTATTGCATGATAATCAAAACCAACACTTTTTTACTTGAAAGAAATGCTCAATTTTTTTTTAGTATGATTCGTCTTCATACTAAAAAAATGCTGGATAAATAGCTCAACCACCATACTCAAATAAAAACTGCTATTTATTGGAAACTTGCCTTTACTAGAAAATACACGAGCATAGCCTTTATACTTTAATATCATAAATTACATAAAATAAATAAAACTATTAAAAACTAAATTCCATATTTATTCAAATTGGTAGGACCATCTGCTACTACTTTTTTTGGGTTTTCTTCCGGAGAGGATCCGTTGGCGGCGAAACGTATTTACTCGCCAAGCTCGTCAACGGCTAATCGGCCATGAGTTTATCGGTGTACAGTAACGTTACAAGATATTTAAAAAGGTTAACCGTAATACAAATTAAAGAAACATATAAAACGCATCTAAATTTGAGTTAGCCGCAGAAAAAAATTATCAAAAGTTTAAACATGATATTTAAAGCATAGAAATTAAGTTATATTATTATATATATTAAACAAACATATTGCAAGATAATTAAACGGGTGATCCGTGATGTTTAAAGCATATAAATTAAAAAAACATATTAAACGCCTATCATATATAAACACCTAGCATCTTCTGAAAGGTAATTGATACATTAAAAATAAAAGTGATGTAATTCTTATTATTTTAGATAAAAATAAGAGTAATAAAAATAAAAACTTTAGTTAATTATTTAAACCTTATATTATTGCGGCCCACGTTAATCATGTTTTAGGACTCGGGTACCCTATGGTTCTGAGTGTTTAGTCTTTTAATTATTAAGAACACAGTCATACTACTCTAAACAGGCGTGTTACCAATTATCAATAAGCCCCCCCCTCCGCCGTAATTTCACCTGCTCATCCGGTAGTGATGCACCACCAGCCAGCGGCAAAACGGAGCACGCACAGAACATACGAGAACAGATTCGTTGTCTAAGCGTTTGAAGAATCAGGTTGCTACCTACGACCACCGAATTCGCCAGGTTACCAACTTTGAACTGTTATCGCCAAAATACATTTAACGGATCCTCTGCGGAAGTGCTTCCCTTTTTTTTTTTATACTAAAAACAAATAATTATTAAATGATACACATGGCTGGAAATTTATGAATACAGCAAATGACATACTCTTTAATAAATTCATTTCACATTTTGTTCCAATTGATCGATTTACTAGAAGAAAATTTAAATTATGGACATATCCCATATAATTAGCAGAATTCAGTAGTTACGGTCAAACATTTCACCAATCTGTTTAAGCCTTGAATTTACCAATAATGATACTATATATAATTAAGGCCTTTTTACGAAAAGTTAACTTCTATGCAATCAAATAAAGCATGTTAACCAGCAAAACAAGGCACAGAAGTCAAATTTGAAATCTGAAAAATAGCAAGTCTTTTGGGAGAAAGTAGAGATGCTTTTACGCTGCATGGCAACATTAAAAATACACTGATGGTACTTTTCCACTTTGCCGGCGCAAGCGATTTTTTAAAGTCGCCAAAAATGGTACAACAGATGCCAAACAGAATATCTCCAAAAATTAAAGATAAATATTGCGATTTAAAAGGTCTACTAAACTTTTCGAGAAATGAAATACTCAGCAGAGGATGCACAGCTTATGCTAATTATAATTGAAATTCTTGCAATTAGAAATTATAAGAGAAATTCTTGCAATTCGAAAAGCCACTACCTTTCAAATTGAAACCTTTTCCCGACTGCGATATTTTAAGTTTAGAAATGAAAAGGCAGATGTTATTTATGTCTGGATAAAAGGTACAGAGTTAAAAACTACAATCAAAAAGTAAAATTAGCTTCTATAATTAACAAACATTCGAAAGTGAATTGTTGGGCATTAAAATAACACAAACAAGAACTAAGTATCATACTTATTCAAAAAAGGTACAAAGAGCACTATATAGACTAAATAAAAATAATATTCACAGGAAAAGTGCACAGGGCTCTACTCTTATATGCGCCTTCAGATCACCAAATGTGGCGATATGTGTTCTGCGCTGGTTTTTGGCGCGATTGCGTGTTGTATGGCAACTCTTTTGACGTTGAATACTCTTTTGCTGGAGTGTTTTAATTGCTCTTGGTTGGTTCGTGTCGTGCGTGTTTTAAAACGGCCTATGTTGCAATGAGAGACGTGGTTGCAAGAGGGTCTGGGAGATTATTTTTAGTGGCTGTGCATGATAGAAGTAAGGAAACGCTGATGTATTAAAGAGTGGATTGAGCCTTGTGCAACTTTTTTTCGGATGGCTGTAAATCTTACAAGGATTTAGGAAAAGAAGGTTTTTTGAACCTTATTTATTAACATTTATTTGTATGAATTTTCTGGATAGTGTGTCTGGTTGTCATATAAATACGATAATGATTACGTGGCGGCATGAAAATGGTATTTCTGCTGTTCGAAAAAGCATTCATTCATGGTAAGTGCATTTTATTTTATTCTTAATGTTATGTTCATTGTTTTTTTAGTATGAACTTCTGTCGTTATTGTTTTTTTTTTTGAATTGTTTGAAAATTATTTTAGTTTATTTCGTTGATTAGTGCATAGTGCCTAGATTGTGCAATTCGTAGATGTTTCTTAAATTTGAAACAGAACGCTGTGTACATGGTATTCTTTGAAATTTATTGTTGTTATGTTAATTTATTAAAGCGAGGTATAGTATGTTAATTTATTAAAGCATAGTTCGTAGATTCTTTCGCTGCCTAGATTGTGCAATTCGGAGATGCTTTTCAAATTTAAAACATATCACTGTGTGCAAGGATTCTTGTAAAATATTTTTGGTTAGAAACTTTACGTTTTTGCTATCTAAATTTTTTGTTTTTTTTGGGGGGGGGGGAGTTTTAGCTTAAATTGTGTGTTCAAAACGTGGTTTTTGCATGTGCGCAAACCTCGTTTTTAGAAACATTTTAGGCTTAAAGTTCGAAATGTAGACCAAAAAACTTAGAAAGTAATATGGCACCGTGGAGTTTCTCGCCAAAATTATTGGCGAGAAATTTGGCGACCTCAGGGCGCATATAAGAGTAGTTCCTAAAGTGAATTGTTGGGCATTAAAATAACACAAACAAGAACTAAGTATCATACTTATTCAAAAAAGGTACAAAGAGCAAATTCTATATAGACTAAATAAAAATAATATTCACAGGAAAAGTGCACAGCAAAAATGGATGAGAAAAATACACATGTAAGAATAAATTTTCAAACTGATACATATTCAAAAGAACTGCATGACGAACAGCAACAACGAACTAGCTACACACAGAAATGGCATTTTTCTTGAATCATTAAATTTGGCACATAATCAGATAAAATAAATATTTTCACACGTAAAAAGCAGACTTTTATCCTACAATATAAAAAAAATTCAGTAATTAAGATCAGAAAATCTTTTACCAATCTGTTAGGCCAAGAACTTACCCGCATTAGTTTTAATGAATATTCTCAACAAATCGCATCTCAATCTGTCAAATAAACTGTGTTAATATGCAAAACAAGATATTAAATAATACAAACAAGAATTGACATATTTATTCAAAAGAGGCATAAAGAAGAACAATTTTTACGCAAACTAAGTAAAAACGGCACATTTACTTGAAATTTTCTCAAAAATTTACCAGCAAAAACTTGATGAATCTCTACATGAGCTAAAGAAAATATCGCATTCAACTTGAAATGAGTTCAGTCAGAAATTTACCAGCACAATAAAAAGAGAGGGGAAAAAAAAGAAAAAACAAGAATTAATTTTTATATCTACTCAAAAAAAAAAAAAAAAAAAAATGCAGAATGAGCAGCAGCAACACAAAACAAAGTAGACAATTAAAAATAGTAATTTTAATGAATCGATCATTAATAATGAAATTCTGGGCATGTACCACATAATCAGAGATAAAGTACAAATTTTCATTTTAAACAGCAGATTTTATCCTACAATATGATTCAGTAATTAAGAGCAGGTAATATTTTACCAATTTGCTAGGCCAAGATCTTACCATCATTGGTTCTAATGCATTTTTCAACAACAAACAGCATTACACATCTGTCAAATAAACTGCATTAATCTGCAAAACAACACATTAAAATAATACAACTAATTAACATATTGGCTCAAAAAAGGCATAACGAAGAGCAACTTCTACACAAATTCAGTAAAAATGGCACATTTACTTGAAATATCCTCAATCAAAAGTTTACTAGTAAAGCTTTTACATGTGTTAGAATTTTCGTGGTTACTTAAAAAAAATGGAAACAGTAATCTCTACACGACCTAAATGAAAATGGCGCATTTATCTAAAAACACGGTAATCGGCCAGAAATCTACCAGCACATAAAACAGAAAATGAGCATGAAAAAATATACGCATGCAAAAATTACTTTTCATATTTAATAATAAATATAAGATATAAAGCAAACACTTACCAGAGAAATAGAAACCTTGGTTATTTGACGAATAACCTGAAATTTGCCATTGCGCACATCTAAAAACAAACAACTTCAAATTAATCAAGCAAAATGTGTAAATTTGGAAAACAAGGTATTAAAAACTTATGGTAGAATTTTAGCATACTTACGGATCAAAACCAGACCACTCTTCAACCACAGTTCCAGAAATAAGAATGAGCCGATGACGCCAAATTACTTGGCGATAAAGTTATTAGTAGATCTTCATGCAACCCAGAGAATCTCGTAACTCCTCGCATTTTTTCTCGTGAAGATAACCTGTCAACAACGAATTCCGGCAGAAACAGGTTTTCCTCGAATCTCGTGGGTCGTTTTCGCCTCCGTTTGGGGAGGGAGAGGATTTTCAACGGCTGTAGCGACCATTTTGGGTAACCACTCTGTTATATATGTAACTGTATCTATTATTATCTTTTATCGTAACAGTTGATGAGTAATGGGGAGGGCGCTGCGATCACCGAGGCAAGCGGCAGCACGATCGCTGCGCTCCGTAAAAAAGTGAAAATTTTTCCTTTCCTCTTGGTGATTATCAATTAAATTTCTTTGAAAAATTTTTTGATTTTTCCTCTACAAAACCTATATCATTCCAATGAATTTCGGCTCCGATGTTGACGAGAATAAAACAGCGGACAATGTAAGGATATACTTCAAAAGACTGGAATTTTAAGATAAGTACTTTTCTTTCATCTAAACTAAATCAAATTTCTATAAATAAGTGCCTTTAAATCAATAAATCTTAATTTTTCATCAGTTTTAAAGCATTAAAAAATACTTGAAATTGCCATTGCTTGTGGCTTCCTTTGTGTATCAACTCCGAAACAGACGCCAGCGTTATCAGTTCACCGTCTGTCAACACTTACAAAGCCCCTTATCTTAAGGAATCTCGAGAGAGGGAAAATTTGGGGAGAGGGATAATTTGGGCATCGCGCTATTTCCCTCTCGGATCTTCTGGATTCTCTTTTCTTTTTTTTCTAGATCGCTTGAATATAGTTTCGCCTTTAAATAATATTATACCTCACCGATTTTTTCTCATACTGTTCTTTGCTATCTGTTAAATGTCCATATGTAAGGGATGGTTTATTCTTCACCGCCTTAAATAAATTTTTAGAACTATGAGCTTATATAAATAACAGTGTGCCTCATTGTGTTATATTAACATTATTTAACTAGTAAATTATGATAGTGAATAATTAATCTTGTAATAAATTGATAGTTAAATTAATAAATACTGTTTAATTTGTGTTTTTAATACATATACTCAGTTATTTTACACACACATATATATATATATATATATTTTTTTTTTTTTTTTTATTTTTTTGGGTGTGTGTATGCGGTTGTGGTCTTGTATTGTATATGGTTCTATGTTGTTAGTCTGCTGCTGCTTTTTGAAAAATGTATGAAAATGTTGAGAATGAAAGTAGCATAAGTTACTTTGGTTAAATTAATATATACTTTTGTTTGATGACCTTTGTTGATATCTCAGGATGCAATACATATTACTTTATATACTATTACATTTATATTTCATGCTAAATACCTTGATACGAAGCATTTTAACACCGTCAATATTTTTTTTTCCCCAGTAACACATCTATTCACCATTACCAAACACACTCACTACACACAACACACCTGTGAGACACTATTTATTGTAAATGAAGACAGTTTCTTCTCCTTTTAACTACACTCATGGACACAATCGTATTTTAGGATATTTTCTACTTCTTTTCCTTTTCTTTCTATAGGCCCTTTTTTTTTTTTTTTTTTTTTTCCCCTCTATTATTTTTGGGCCATTTATTTTAAATTTTATTTTTCATCTTCCTGGCCTTTTGAACTCGTACAAGATGTACGAAGTTCCCTTTTTACTCTCCTCAAATACGAAATTGCCCCTCTTTCTATACCTTTCCTTCGCACCTATGCTTGATTTTTCGCCCATCGGTGCAGAAAGACTTAGCGGGTGCAAAACAAGACATCTGTCTACTTTGTCTGTCTGTCTGTCTGTCGTGAATGTAGAATAAACGATGTTTGTGTACATCTTGTAATCATCACTGAGCACGTACCCAACATATAAAATACACATGGCGCAGCCCGTCGTTGATTAAAAAAGAAAATCTTTTTTGAAACCAGCCTCATGTTCTAAACAAAAACATGATGGGAAGTTGTTTACTGTGAAATCAAAATTTATATCGCTGGTAAGTGAGTTGTTTATTTTTATTGGAAGTGGCTAAAAATACGTATATATAAACTATTTAAAGTCCTAAATTAAATATGGATGGATTAAAGCCACCAAGTAATCTAAGTTTCGAAGGAAATTTAAGCGAAAATTGGAAGAAATGGAAACAAAAATTCCAAATTTATATGTTAGCGTCTGGTGGTATTACTAAATCACCTGAAATTAAAGTAGCTATTTTATTGCATATAATTGGTGAAGAAGCACTTGAAAAATTTAATACTTTTAATTTAAGTGAAGAAGATAAGAAGGATGTTGACAAAGTAATTGAAGCTTTCGAAAATTTTTGCATACCGAAAGCAAACGAAAGTGTTGATAGACATATATTTTTCTGTCGAACACAACATGTAGGTGAAGCGTTTGATGATTTTTTTAACCGATTTAAAGAAATTAAGTAGCAACTGTGGATTTGCAGAATTAAAAGATAGTTTAATAAGAGATAGAATAGTAAGTGGAATTCTAAATAAAAATCTCAAAGATAGATTATTAAGGGAAGATCAGTTAACATTGGAGAAATATATTAAAATGTGTAAAGCTTCTGAATTAGAAAGAACTTCAGCTGAAAACTTTAACTGAAGAAAATAAAATAAAAGCTATCAAACGTAATAAATTTCGACCTTTAGAGGAAAAAAGTCAGCCTTGTAAGAAAGACTATCATGTAAAACAAAAGCAAGAAAGTACTAAATCTTCTTCAAACTATCAAGGAAATAAGTACAATAACCCAAAACCATGTAGAAAATGTGGAACTTTTCATAAGTTATACAACTGTCCTGCTTATAATAAGATTTGCTTGTACTGTAAAAAGAAAAATCACTTTTCTAAAATGTGCAATTATAAAAATGTTAATGTTGTACAGAATAATTTAGAGCATGAGTTACATAATAATGGTAATGAATATATTTTAGGGTCAGTAGAAGATATAAATCCATTTTCTAAAAATAAAACCGAATGGTTTGAAAAACTAAAAGTAAACATATCTAAATATTTATTTGTTAAGTTGGATACTGGAGCTCAGTGTAATGTGCTACCATTGCCTAAATTTAAACAATTAAATTTAAGAGAGAAATGTTTGACTAAATCAAAAGTCACTTTAAATAATTACAATGGTACTACAATTGATGTAGTTGGAAAATGTAAATTATTATGTGAAAACATCGAAAGGGGACAAGGATGAAATAGAATTTCAAGTCGTAGCATGTGATAAAACTGTTCCAGCTATTTTAGGTTTACCTACATTGCAAAAAAATTAAACCTAATACAAAGGATTTGTACAGTAAATCCTGATTCTAATGAAAAGTTACCAGAACTTTTAAAAGGATATCAAGATTTGTTTAAAGGAACTGGGAATTTAACTGGATATACATATCATATTAAATTAAAACCAGGAGCTGTTGGTAAAATAGAACCCTGTAGGAAAAATTATAGCTTATTAAATCCATTAAAAAAGGAATTATCAAGAATGGAAAAAGATGGTATTATAAAGAAAGTTAACCAACCAACAGAATTAGTGAATTCATTAGTGGTAGTAAGGAAAGAGGATGGTAATTTAAGAGTGTGTTTAGATCCTCAGCACCTTACTTAAAATATACTGAGAGAACATTATCACATACCAACCTTTGAAGAAATTTCATCTCAAATGATAAATGCAAAAGTCTTTAGTATTTTAGATGCAAACAAAGCATTTTGGCAAATTAAACTGTCACATTCAAGTTGTGAATTTACTACATTTAACACTCCGTTTGGTAGATATTGCTTTTTGAGGTTGCCATATGGACTGAGTTCATCACCAGATGTTTTCCACAGAAGGTTTTTCTGAAATTTTTAGTGATTTAGAAGGAGTTCAAATATATATAGATGACTTATTAGTTTGGGGTAAAGATAAAAAAGAACATGATTCAAGATTAAAGAAGTTGTTGGACAGAGCCAGAGAAAAGAATGTTAAATTTAATTTAAATAAATGTAAATTTGGGCTGAATGAAGTGAATATATGGGACATATATTTTCTAAAAGATGGTTTAAAACCAGATGAAGACAAAATTAAGGCTATTCTAGATATAAAACCACCAAAAAATGTTAAAGAATTAGAAACTTTCCTAGGAATGATTACATATGTTTCTAGATTTATACCTAATGTATCAGAATTGACATCATGTTTAAGAGATTTGTTGAAAAAACAAGTTATCTGGAACTGGAATGCAACACATGAAAAAGCATTTAGAAGACTAAAAGATGTCTTGGTAAATAAACCAGTTTTACAGTATCATGATATAAACTTGCCAGTAGTTTTATCTGTAGATGCATCTCAAGAAGGACTAGGAGCAGTCTTACTGCAGAATAATTTACCAGTGGCATATGCATCTAAGGCATTAACAGATACACAGAAGAATTATGCTCATATTGAAAAGGAAACTTTAGCTATTGTATTTGCGTGTGAGAAATTTCACCAGTATATATTTGGAAAAAATGTTACTGTGGAAAGTGATCATAAACCACTGGAATCAATTTTCAAAAAGCCATTAAATAAATGCCCTGTAAGACTACAAAGAATGCGTATAAGATTACAGCCATATCAGTTTGAGATAAAATATAAACCAGGAAAAGGACTTTTTATAGCGGATGCATTATCAAGATCATTCACTGATAAAGGATCTGATTTCTTTGAAGGAGAAATAGAAGCTCATGTTGGATTAGTTGTAGAATGTATACCAATGTCTAATGGTAAAATGGAAGTTTTTCAACTGGAAACAGAAAAAGATGAAGAACTACAAGTTTTAAGAAAATTAATTAAAACTGGATGGCCAGATGAAAAATGTAGGGTTCCAGAACTGGAAAAACCATATTTTAACTTCAGAGAAGAACTATCAGAAGCAAATAGATTAATATTTAAAAATTCCTGTGTTGTTGTACCAAGAAGTTTACGAAACGATATGTTAAGCAGAATTCATTATGGTCATTTAGGAGTAGTAAAATGCAAGATCAAAGCAAGAGAAATATTATATTGGCCAGGAATGTCCAAAGAAATTGAAGATTTGGTACTGAATTGTCAAACATGTTTAAGTTTACAAAAAGCTAATACTAAAGAACCAATGATATCTAAAGAAATACCTAA